CCCCAAAACCCCAAAACCCCAAAACCCCAAAACCCCAGAATATTTTTTCATTATTGAAACCTTAATTTTGGACATTTAAAGCTATTTTTAAAATTTTAGAAAATTTGTGATTAGCACAGAACCAAATTTTTCACTATATCATTTATTGATCAAGATCTATCTGAGATTACTTCCGTTTAGGTTGGAAGATCTGCGGGGTAATTACCAAAATCTTACGTTTATCTTGGTCGGACTGAGCTGAGCAGTTATCCAATGTATCCTATAAACCTGTCAAAATCCGATTTGAAAGCTAAAATTTGCTAAATTCTAGTGTGTACTTACTCAGATTTCATACTAACATCGGGGACTGACTCTTCACTAAGGTTATGCTCTATAGTGCTTAGAGCCCAGGATTTATCAACTCTGATTTCTTCACTAAACAAGTTTGCATTTCTTGTCATCTTCTATATCGATAAAGAGTGAAACTAGGCCTTCTGGGAGTGCAAGCAAGCATAAAAAAGGGTTCTAACCAGTCAGAGAAGGCATAAAGAAGCCATGGTGATATTTAGCACATAAGTGCTTAGTAATTCTCAAATGAATTTGCTAGGACTTTTAGATTTAATCTTTGAAATCTGATATTTGAATGGCCATAATTTAGAGATTGATAAATATGAGAGATTTCCAAGTGAGGATAAAGGATTTATTGTGGAATATACAAACCAGCTTCCTCTTCAGACAATTTTCTACGTAAGAGATGTCTTTAAAGAAATTTTAAAGAGAGAGTTAAGAATAGTGAGGTAGAGATCTGGTGGCAGATTGTTTGGAAATTATTGTTTGGATGAAGGGATTAGTGAGAAGGAGAGATAGGAGGTAGTTACTGGTTTTAGTTCTTGGATTCTACTATTTAGCTTCCGGTTTGAGATTTTATTTATGTTTTTTCGTATTTTATGCTTGTTTAGTGCTCTAAATTTAGGTTAGCTTAAAAATACGAATTTTAGTGCAAGATTAGTTCCTATACACATATAAATTCCATGGATTTCTAAAAGGATATTTTGTCGTTCATCCCATAGTGGTTAGAAATGTTTGTAGTAGGCTTAGTACATGTTATTGATATTATATTCATGATTAAATTTGGTCTGAGATATCGGTCTTGTCTCATTCACTAAAGACAATTCTACTTGGCATTCTTTGTGCTTTCTATCCGCTTCAACCATTTCTTTCTAAAAGGTATTATAAGCAAGACAATACTTTTCTACTTGGTCAGCATCATCTTTGACCCATTTTTACACCCTAAACTTCTCAGATTCAAAACTTATCTCCCTATATGGGGTTTTGGGGTTTTGGGGTTTTGGGGTTTTGGGGTT